CCCAACTGGCCTTGGACTCGTATTAGCTGTGTGACCCTGGGCAAGACACTCAACCCCAATTATCTCCAAAAAATGAGAAGACAGAGATAGCAGGACTGGATAAATGTCAGTTATCAATCATCTTTTGTTCCCTCAAATAATTAAAAATAGCCTAATTTAGCTATCTAAGCATCTGGACAGTAGAGAAACACATTTTTTTTAAACTTTAAAAAAATTCTGTATTTAATAGTATTTTAATTATTTTTCCAATTACATGTAAAAATAATTTTCAACATTCATTTCTGTAAGATTTTGAGTTCCAAATTTTTCTCCCTTCCTCCCTTTCCTCCCCAAAATAGCAAGCAATCTGATATAGGTTATACATATGCAATCAAGAAACACATTTTTTTTAAGGCAATTGGGCTTAAGTGACTCACCCAGGGTCACACAGCTAGTTAAGTGTCAAGTGTTTGGTCTAAGGATGGATTTGAACTCAGGTCCTCCTGACTTCAGGGCCGGTGCTCTATCCACTGTGCCACTTAGCTGCCCCCAAGAAACACATTTTTAAAGCCATGTATTAATACCTACTCACTCCAATATGCAATGGATTCAAGATTTCATAGCTGAGTACTCCCTCCAACAATGCAGATTGCAGCCCACGGAAGCCTCCCCAGCCTGGGGAGTCACGTCTTGCCTAAGTTCACCACGGCAGGTGGGAGGGAAGAGGGGAAAGGGGGAGGGGGAGGGGGAGTCTACTCAGTGAGCTGGGAGCCTTCCTCAGTTCCTCCTCCCATCTACAGGATACCAATGGGGCATACTCAATGTCAACCAACCAAACATTTTATTAAGCACTCACTATGGACATAGGTAACCCCTGCCCTCTTATGTGATTTTCCCATCTTTTTCAAACATACCTTTCTTCAAAAACATCCTTTGTCAATCAATCAATAAGCATTTATTGAACACGTGCTGTGTGCTGGGCACTATACTAACAATATAAAGACAAAAGAGAAACAGTCCTTCTAGGGGTTTACATTCTACTAGAGGAGACAATATAAAGAGACAGCATGGTGCAGTGGATACTAGACCGAGACCTAGGAAGACCTGAGTTCAAATCCAGCCTCAGACATTTACTAGCTGTGTGACTCTGGTCAAGTCGTGTGAACCTATCTGCCTCAGTTTCCCCATCTCATCTGGAAAATGAGCTGGAGAAAGAAATGGCAAACCAGTCCAGTATCTCTGTCAAGAAAACCCCAAATGGGGTCACGAAGAGTCCAACACGACTGAACAACATAATTAATTCTTGCTGTGGATGCACTATAACCTGCTCATGCCCCCTATCGTCCCCACACATATTTTGCTTAAAATCAACAGAGATGTGAGAAGCCCTGGGGAAAGCTAACTGTCCTCGGCGTGAAAGAAATGAGACGGGGCCCAGAAGAAATAAGGGGGCTGAATAAGCCAGACCAGTCAGCAGACCTGTAGGCTGAGGCGGCAATTCCTGTGTACGATGGCCTTGGGCTCCATGTCACCTCCAGAGCTGCTGGCTAGACAGTATTTTCTTGCCCAGACTGGTCACAGTTTGTTGTGACTGGATTATTTTGCTGTGGTTTTGCTTCTGGTGACCTGGGCCAGCTCTCCAATCTGGATGCGCTCCCAAACACCTGTGGCTCTTTTTAGCCTGAGACTTGAGTTGGGGGAGAGCATTTGCCAGGGGAACTCACGCCTCATCTTGTCAGAGGTCTTTGCAGACTGGAACATCTCAGGCACTGAGCATTCCTTTTCTAGTCTGAATCATGCCTGAGACATTTATTAACTGTGGGAGCCTGAGTGAATCAAGATACCTTCCCTTAGAATTATAGAATCACATCCTCAGAGCTGAAAGGGACTTCAGAGGTCATCTGGTCCCCCCAGCCCAGTCTCGCCAGAAGGACATGAGTGAATTTAATCCTCCAGCCTCACCAGGCCAGTCTGGAGCAGAGGCGCACAAGGCACCTAAGTCTTCCTGACTCTAGGGCCCACTCTCTCCACTGCATCACAGTGGGAGCTCCTCTCTATCCCACCCTTCCTTCCTTCCTACCACTCCCATGAGCCTCACAGGTATCCCAGGGTCATTATCTCTCCATCATCCTTCCCTCTCCCCCCACCCCAATACCTCTACTTTCCCTGGGCATAATGTACACTGTTTATCTCACACATAAAAAATTACTCAGGACAGCTCCAAAGGTAGATGCTATCAGAGGCATTATTCCACTTAACAGATGAAGAAACTGAGTCTCAGAAAGCGTAACTGACTTGTCCATGGTCCCACAACTAGTAAATGGGAGAGAGAAAAGGTTTAAACTCAAGCTTTCCTGACTCCAGAAGTCCAATGCTCTTTCCACTATAATGTTAAAGCATCATCCTTCCCACTCTCAACACAAACTTTAAGTCCTGTAATCAGACTGCCGAGTTAAGAGGGTCGTCAATCACTGACAAAGCCTCTCCCTTCTACAATCTACTTCCTAAAAATGGCAAAGTTGTCAACCACCGAACAGAGGTTATTTACAAATTTTCTCTAGAAGAGCCTTTTTTTATTTTATTGAAACCTTTTTTAAAAATATCCTTCCTCTCCCGATAGAACCTATAACAAGAAAAAAACCAAGGAATAGTGGCAGTGTGTGCATCATTTCAAACCAATAGTCCCCCGCCTTTGTGCCAAGAAGAAGAAAGTGTGTGACTTCACCCTGTCTCCTCTGGGAGAAGACTGAACAGCCCCATTATAGAAAATGGACTTAATCTACAATTCCATTTACTTGCCCTGAAAAAAATAAGGGCTGGTGCACATATTCTCACACTACAACTGACAACGAAAATCACGTCATCTCCAGATGAGTTTTCTTTGAAATGCTTGGATTTGCACAAAAGAGCCGGGTGTCAGAAGAGCTGCCATTTGCCCACCCAGAGCTCGGCGTGCTGCTTGATCTTGCGTGGGTCTGACCTGCTCTGTGCTGCTGAGATTTCCTATCAATTGACCAAGCCACAAGCATTTATGAAGCACCTCCTATGTGCCAGGCTGGGCTGAACACTGGGGAAACAAGGAAAGGCAGAAACACAAGCCCAATGGTCTCCAGGAGCTCATGATCTACTGGGGGAGGCCGCATAGAAATAAATATAGCAGGTTACATGTCATTCAATGATGATATGTAGATACAAACAGAGCAGAAGTCGGCTAAGCCTAGGAGGGAAGGCTGGAGGGGCTACAGGAGGGACTGGAAAGGCCTTCTGCAGATGGTGGTGTTTGAGCAGCCCTGAGCTTGGCCCCAGCTGCTCCACTCCACAGCGGGTAGGGAAGAAAGGGGCCTCATACTTCCTCAGGGACCTTGGGAAAGATGCTGCACATCTGGGCCCCAGTTACTACAACTGCAAATGAGTGAGCTGAACTACATGACCTGGGAGATGCCTTCCGACTTCTCAGTCCTCGGTCTTGTGACAATGGATCTGAAAGCAGGTTGGTTTGGGGGCTGCCCTAACCAGGTCCTCATCCTTCCCTCCAAAGATCACGGCATCCCCATTCAGTAGCTTTAGTGCCTCTACTTGGGGTGTCATATATACTTTATACACATGTCTGTGCACATGTATGTCATGCAAACATGTTATCTCCCCATTGGCATGCAAGTTCATTAAAATAAAACAGCTAAATATGGAAATGAGCTTTGTATGACATCACCTGTGTAACTGATGTCATACTGTTTGCCTTCTCACTGAGTGGGGATGAGCCAGAGGCAAGGACAGAATTCAGAACCCAAAATTGTTTAAAAAAGAATGTTAACAATAAATAGAAATTAAAGGCAAAAAAGAAATAAAATGGCTAGCATTTATATAGAGCTTTGCAAAGCTCTATCGCATGTTAATTACAATTAATTTGATTATCACAGCAAGTCTGCTTTAGTTATCCCCATTTTACAGATGTGGAAACTGAGACACAGGGAATTTAAGTGACTTGCCCAGGGTCACCCAGCTAGCAAGTGTTTGAGGCAACACTCGAACTCAGTTCTTTGTCTTTTTTCTTGCTCTATCCTTTGTTTCACTTTTGTCTCCTAATCCCCAGCACTCAGCAAGATGTCTTACCCAGGGTAAGTGCTTGGTTAATGCTTGTTAAGTGACTTAATTCCTGCACTACCGACTTAGGGGCAAGTCATATCATCTCTGGGCAGTAGAATCACTGCTGGGCCTGGAGTCAGAAAGATGTGAGCTCAAATCCTGCCTCAGACACTTAGCTGTATGACCCTGGGCAAGTCACTTAATTTCTGCCTCAGTTTTCACAACTGTAGAATGAGGATAATAGTAGCACCTACCTCGAAGGGTTGTTGTGAGATCAAATGAGATAACATTTGTAAAACACAGCACAAGCTGACGCTGGCACACAGTAGGCTATATAGCAAGCACTTATTTCCTTCTCCCCTTCTGGGCCTCACTTTCCCAGTCTGTAAAAATGAAGCTGGAAGGGATGATGCCTTGAAACTCAGACACTCCTTGCTTCTCTGAGCAGCACGTCTCCTGCGCTTATCTAACATTATCATTTCCCCTGAGGGGCTCCTCCTTCCCAATGGCTAAGGCAGCTTGGAGGACCCACCTCAGGGACGTTAAAAATCTAGACACAGATCCTTCCTTCTCGAAGCTCATCCTTCAGCATTCCCTAACTGGAGGAAGTGCGGGCTCCAGCCTTCTCCTGAGGTCCCCACGGACTTCCCGAGAAGGTCTACTGAATAAACAGAGCATCGTGACTCTGTCTATTCCGATTACGTTCGACCTCCTCCCCGGGGATATTTATCGAAAACTTGAACCTCGCCATATAGCGGAGACCAGGCTGGTCTGCACCAATGCCCGTGACCCGGCCCTCCGCCCCACCCGCAGCTAAGGAGCACAAGCCGGGCAGGTCGGGCGCATCTGGAAGGAAGGAGATCCTCCCCGGCCTAAGCAGTCCCACTCTCACCACCCCTCGCTACGACAGAAGAGGGAGCCCGGCTCCCCTCACTTACGGCTCCTGGTTTCCTCGGTGCGGGCAGAACACACAGAGTAGCAGACAGGCAAGCCGGCGGACGCGCGAGGAGGGTCTGCGGGCTCCTACGCAGCCGCCGCAGAGAGCAGAGAGCTGTCTAACTACGCGCTGCGGCTGTGGGGAGGCCTCCCCGAGGCCTGGGGGGAGGGGGGACAGTCAGACTAGGCTGTAGCATGTGACTGGTACTACTCCTGCTCCAGCCCTTGCCCAGTCCCTACCCAATCTCTGCCCAGCCCCTGCCCAACCCCTGCCCCAGACCCAGACTCTGCCTTAGATCCAGCCCCAGATCCCTCCTCTGAGCCAGTCTCTCTGACCCTGACCTAGCCCCCACATCCTGCCCCTGACCCAGACTCAGCCCTTTTCCCAGATCCAGCCCCAGATCCCTCCCCTTCCCAGCCCCTGCCCCCAGACCCCGGCCCTAGCCTCCAGTCACTGCGCAAGTCCCAGCTCCTGCCTTGGTCTCACACCTAGATCCCTCCTCTGACCCAGTCCCTAACCCTGACTCAGACCCTGGCCCCAGATCTAGCCCCGGATCCCGATCCAGCCCCAGATCCTTCCCCAGCCCCAGCCTTTGTCCCTGCCCCCGCCCCCAGACCCTAACCCAGCCCCATCCATAGTCCCCATCCATAGTCCCCATCCCATACCACTAGGGCCAGCTCTTCTTCCTTCTTCCGCCCGGAACCTGATCGGAATATTCTAGAGCGAAGCCCTTTCCCCACCTTCATCCGCACCCCCGATCTAGGAAGAGTTTCTCGAACGCGCTGGGCCCAGGAGTTCCCTGGGAGGGCTCGAGCTGTGAGGGAAGAAGGAAAACCCAGGCTTGTGCAACGGCGGCCAGCCCGCAGTTGAGGCAGGCTTTCTTGATGGCCCAAAGGCGATCTCGGAGAAAGTCTCCCCAGCAGCCAGAGCCAGCTAGGTTTAAGCTCCAGCCGCCTCTGTGGGTTGTCAGGCTCATCTGCTGGCGCCTGTTCCCTCGTTAACCTTCCTTAAAGGGAAAACAAATAAATGCGCTTTTCCTGAGCCAGAGAAGGCAACTTCCTCAGTGTAGTGAAAGCGCCCAGCTAGGAGTCTAGGCGTGTGCTTGGTTGCGTCCCAGGCTGGCCACATTCTCCCTTTGGACCCTCGGACAAATAAGTCACTTAACTTCTCTGATCCTCAGTTTTCTCATCTTTGAAATGAAGGGCAGCATTCTTTCCCTACCTATCTCTCAAAGGACTGTGGGGAGGAAAGTGTTTTGGAGACTTTAAGTGCTATGAAATGCATGGGATAATTGTGGGAAAGGCTCAACCTTGTGTCCCACATAAATGGAGCTAGACCAGGAATCAGGAGGAATGGAAGGGAGAGGACACAGAAACAAGAATTTATACAGAGCATATACTAAGTTCTTTACAAACACCATTTCATTTGGTCCTCACAACAATTTTGGGAACTAGGAGAAGTAATTTCTCCCATTTTACAGTTGAGGAAACTGAGACAGAGAGAGAGAGAGAGGTTAAGTGACTTGCCCAGGGTCACACAACTAGGAAGTATTTCCAGCTCAGGCTGGATTTGAACCCAGGTCTTCCTAACTTTATCCACCAAACCACCTAACTGAATATCAGGCTTAAGTATTGGTACCTTTGAATCTTGTCCTGAAAACCTAATACAGGAGATAGGTATGACAAGACCAACGTATGTCTGTGAAACCTGGACAGTCTACCAGCACCATGCCAGGAAATCTAACCGCTTCCATTTGAATTATCTTAGGAAGATTCTGAAGATCACCTGGCAGAAAAAAGTAGCAGATACTGAGGTCCTTTCCCCAACTAAACTGCCAAGCATTCCAACTTTGCTTCAGAGAGCAAAACTCCGATGGGCTGGCCACGATGTTTGAATGCAAAATGTACACTTGCCAAAAAGACTATTTTCTAGAGAATTCACACAGGGCAAACACTCACATGGTGGTCGGAAGAAGCAATACAAGGGGCAGCTAGGTGGCAAAGTGGATAGAGCCCTGAAGTCAGGAGGACCTGAATTAAAATCTGGCCTCAGACCAAACACTTGACCCTTACTAGCTGTGTGACCCTGGGCAAGTCACTTAACCCCAATTGCCTAAAAATAAAAAATAAAACAGAAGCAATACAAGAACACTCTCAAAGTCTCTCTTAAGAACTTTGGAATTGATCTTGTGATGTGGGAAACCTGGTATGTGCCCTCATCAGAGAAGGTGCTGTGCTCTATAAGCAAAACAGAATTGAAACATCTCAAAAGAAATTCAAGATGTGCAAATTTAGAGAATGTTCACATGGACTATTTGTGTTCAACCTGTGGTACGGCATTCCAAGCTCAAACTGGTCTGATCAGGCCCAGTCTGGACACACTGAAACTGGACTCTAGCACAGTGATGGCATTTTGGTCGTCTTGGAGAGCAGGACAACAGCCAAAAATAAGGGACGAAACAATCCATGCCCTCAAGGAGCTTACATTTTAACATCAGCTGTTTGATCATGGGCCAGAGAACCACTCAGAACTCTCTGAGCCTCCCTTTCCTCAGCTGTAAAATGGTGACCCTAACTCTTATACTACCAACCTCAAAAGGCTGTTTTAAGGAAAGTGTTTGGCAAATTACAAATAACAATAACATTAAACATTTGAGAAATACAAACAATTCTTCCCCCAAACTAGTTTCCAGGTTATTACAGCTTCAGTTAAGATGGTGTAATTTAGTCAGTCCTTTCAAACCAAAATCTGTCAGATTTCAGTCAGACTACCTCCCACCCTTGGATAAATAGGACAGTCTTTGCCCTTGATACCTTCCCATCTCTCCATTTTTTTTCTTTCTGGTGAGGTAATCGAGTTAAGTGACTTGCCCAGGGTCACACAGCTAGTGTCAAATGTCTTAGGTCCGATTTGAACTCAGGTCCTCCTGACTCTAAAGCCAGAGCTGAAACACCTAGATGCCCCCAATCTCTCCTTTCTTTCAGAGCCACCTCCTATACAGGGCCTTTCCAGATTCTTCCTTCTCCCAAAGACTTCCCCCCACAAAAAAAAAAAAATTACCTTGTCAATGGCCTTGTCTTCATATTCCAAGTATTTTATATATTTATATTTATATATCACATATAATTGCAAATATAACCTATATATGACATATAACACACACATAAATACTTGTCTCCGCTGACAGAATGTGAACCCTTTCAAGACAAGAAACACTTAATTTTTGCATCCCAAAGCCCAGCACCGAGTAGGCATGTCATAAATGCTTAGTTGATGAGATGGCTACTGAAACTCACAAATGCATTTTCCAGATTCCCCCCCTTCTCTACCTCCCAGTCAACAAGCATTAATTAAGCAGCTCCTATGTGCCAGACACCATCCTAAGCTCTGAACAAAAGAGGCAAAAAGAGGCAAAAGACAGTTCCTGCTCTCAATGAGCTCACAGTCTGATGGGAGAGACAACATTCAAACAACCATGTACAAACAAGATGCTGAGGTCAGGGGCAGCTAGGTGGTGCGGTGTATAGAGCACTGGCCTTGAAGTCAGGAGGACCTGAGTTCAAATCCGGCCTCAGACCAAACACTTGACACTTACTAGCTGTGTGACCGTGGGTAAGTCACTTAACCCCAATTGCCTAAAAAAAGCAAAAAAAAAAAAAAGAAAGATGCTGAGGTCAGCCTCAGGAAAATCACGAAGATCAAGGATTGGGTAAGGCTTCTGAACTTTCGTTGAGTCTTGAAGGAAACCAGGAAAGCTGGGAGGTGGACATGAGGAGGAAGAGCATTCCAAGCCTGGGGAAGACAGTGCAAATGCTCAGAGCGCCACATTTGAGGAACAGCAAAAATTAGTGAAATTGAAGGAAAATTTGTCCCCCTCCCCCCAATAATATTAAAGTAGAAAACCAAATACAGCACCAGGCAAGCCTGCCAAGAGCCCTTCCCCAGCTAGACTGACTCTCTGTGTCTGACTCTCTGTGATCCCATTTTGGGGGGGTTTTTGGCAGAGATACTGGATATTTGCCATTTCCTTCTCCAGCTCATTTGACAGGTGAGGAAACTGAGGCAAACAAGAAGAAGTGACTTGCCCAGGGTCACACAGCTAGTAAGTGTCTGCAGATTTGAACTCAGGAAGATGGGTCTTCCTGACTCCAGGCCTGGCACGGTATGCACTAGGGCACGCCCTAGCAATCCTTTCTTTTTGCTAATGCAGTGAATCTATTTCTGCCTCTGGTAGCACATTCAAGTCTGCAGAGCATTGACAAGCTCTGGAGATACAGCACAAGAAGTCTTGCCATTGGGGAGATTATACTCTACTCCAGGAAATAACTCACACTGACGTAAGTAAAGTAGATAAAAAAAAGTGTCTAAAGGATATAATTCAACAGGCTTAGAGCCCTTGAATTCCCAGACACCACCCCCAGCATCCTAATTTATGGCTTGTAATCTCAGTATCAATGAGAAACTCAGTTCCTGTTCCTTTTCTCAGTTCCAAGCTGGGGGTCACCTTGTCTCTCCCCGCTCGTCCACAGATGGGTGGGCCTGGCTATAGGTGGGGCACACTCTCCTTTTTGAGGAGATCTGTGGGGATAGCAACCATCCATTTTATAGGATTGAGAGCACCTAGACCAGCCCCCTCCATTTTACAGATGACAAGACTGAAGTGCAGAAAGTAGAGTGACTTGTCTAAGGTCAGCTGGGGTAGCAAGTAACAGAGGGTTCTGGACTCTTCTCTGATTGGAAATCCACTTCTTTCTACAACAGCCTCTCTGCTGGGCTTTGCTCCTTCCTGTGTTCTATCCCTAATTCTGGGCTCTTCTCTCTTCTTGCTAGTTCCTTTGTGGGACCAGAGACCTGTTGGAAGTGAGGAGGCATGTCTGGTGAGATCTCCAGCTTAGCTTTTCCAAAATAGGAACAATTGTACATTATGCCTTATCTCCAGGCTCCTCTTGTTTTTATTTCCTTTCCACTGTCTGAGGTTAACAAGGTCATGGGGGCTGCCTGACATTCTAATCCCAGTGGCTGTTAAAAATACTCACTCTCAGCTGGTTTGTGATACCCAGGTTGGCCTTCTGCCTGTCCTTATGAGTCCTGGCCAGCAGGCTCCTGATGGCAGGGTGCTTGGGAACTTGAGCCAGGCCCAAAGATAGGAAGGAGGAGATATATGGGGATGAGGAGGGGTGGGGGAAAGGCCCACTTTGGTTTCCATGGGGAAGGGAGGAAAAAAGCAATCTTGGAAAAAGTTAAAATTTCTGCAATTCCTGTTTGTCTGTTTTTGGCAAGGTAATCAGGGTTAAGTGACTTGCCCAGGGTCACACAGCTAGTAAGTATCAAGTATCTGAAGCCATATTTGAACTCAGGTCCTCCTGACTCCAAGGTCAGAACTCTCTCCACTGTGCCACCTAGCTGCCCCAAATTTCTGTAATCCTTAAAGCTCCTTCTAATGTCTAAATTATGTCTAATGTCTAATGTCTGAAATTATATAATGTCATTCCCAGTCCCTCCTGATCAGAAAGAAACATATGTACCCACCTCCAAATTAAATAGGGAGGATGCCCACAACCAAAGAAGGCACTGAATCCTTGTTCATTCTCTTGTGAAAATTACAATGCTCCCAGGGGGCAAAAATGCATTTTGATCTGTCCAGACTTGTTGGTGACCACCATAATGACACGATGGCATAAGTAAGTTTTATACAAAAATACTCCATTATGTAATTTTTTAGGAAACACCTTGGGGAATAAAGGTTAAGCAATATAACAACAGTAATAAGCAACTTTTACAAGCCAGAGCTAGGCACTGTGCTAAGCACTTTACAATTATTACATCATTTGAGCCTCACAACAACCTTGGGAGGGATGTGCTATTATTATCCCCATTTTACAGATGAGGAAACTAAGGCAGAGATCAGTGAATACATGTCTGAGGTTGGATTTGAACTCAGCTTTTCCAGTCTCTAAGCTCCCTGCACCGTGGTGCCCCCTGGCTGCCCTTAATATAATTAAAATTTAGACAGCTT